CTGATAATGAACTTAAGTCTTCGGCAGCTTCATCGAGCTTCTGTACTCGATTAACTAATTTAGTAACACTAGCACAAACATGACTTCTTTTTTCAATTATTTTCGAAAGCTTATCCTTATTAACTCAGAATTTGTAAGTTCAAAAGATCTTACCTTCGCAGTCCGTCATGCAGAAATGTTACATATCCAAAAGCGTACGTGAAGTATCCAAGCTTCTCAATTATAATCGAGCAATGATGACTAAGTACTTCCGATATTCCACATTCGCGGACAAGATTCATCAATTTTGCATCTAATTGGTTCTGTGTGTCTAAAGGTGCATCAGATACTAATAAAACTAATGCTTTCGAAAATACTAATAAAATTTATTTATAAGAAATATGTAAGAATTAAGTAGCTGAAGATACAGTTACATTATTAGACATCTTTGCCTTCCATGTACATCCTTAGAATCCAGCCTGCCACTGACTATTGGAACATACATGTATCCGCCTGCCACTGGCTACTGGAACGTCACAGCGCCCTCTAGCCAAATGGCACGGGAAATACATAGCATGGGGTCCCTAAGTATGGAATTCAGAATTTAATTGATAGGAGAATAAACAACCCAAAAGTTAAATTTCTGTAAAATACATGCAATTTTATAGCTAATTGATGGACAGAAAGGAATAACAACAGACTTCTTATAATCTCTTAAAACAAGAGTGTGCTTTTTGATGTGTTGAGACGAGAATTTTTTAACTGCTTGGTTAATAATGTTGGGTGAAAAGAAAACACAAACGAAAGAGCTATAATGTGCGAAATTTATTCTAACCCGAACATTATCATTTCAAAGGCTGACAAAAGTGGCCAAATAATCGTCATAGGCAAGAACACTTACTTTGATGGTGTCACTAAACTTTTAAATGAAGGATCATATAATATGATCCCTAAAGACCCTTCACCTTTGGACCTCTCAAAAATAAAAACTGCAATCAAATCGTCACAAATCATTTCAACCAACTTAAAAAGTCTCTTATCCCATCTGTTGTGAATTGTGCCATATTATATGCTCTTCCCAAAATTTATAAAAGTGGTATTCTTTTCCACACTGCTGTATCAAATTTAGGCACTACCTCATACCCATTAGCTAAATACTTAGTTTCTAGATTTTCAGTTCTATTAGATAATAACATTTACACCATAAAAATTCAATAGAGTTTGTAAAAAAAGTTAAAAGCCTCCAGGAAATTTACTCTTAGTTTCTGTGGATGTAAAATCATTATTCACCAGTGTTCCAATGGAGGGTGCGTTAGGATATCTAGAAACCAGACTTCATGGATTTCATCTCTCCTGCATCAAAATTGATGAGCTCATTTCCCTTACACAAATCTGTTTGAAACAAATGCATTTTGTTTTCTAGAATAAGTATTACAAGCAAAGTGAGGGATTAGCCATGGGAAGCCTTCTTAGTCATATCCTAGTTCATATCTACATGCATTATTATGAATCAAAATTATTTAAAACTTTAACCCATTAACCGCCAAAACTACAAGGAATGTTTTCTTTCTCATGAAAATAATAACAAATATTAAATTAAGCATTTATAACATAAATTTACATTGAAAATAAAATTTAAAAAAATGCTCTTATCTGTGGAAAAAGCGAGTGTCACGTTCGCTTAACGTCAGCGGAATTAAACTACGGATGTTTAGTGAGTAGGATTGTACTTGTGTGATGTTTCTTTTGAGTGGAGCACAGGATTACTTTTTAGCTGTATAATGTTTTATAAATAAACAAATCACTTGTAATTAATGTAATATTAAAATATAGCTTTGTATTTCTTTTACAAATACAGATTATTTCAATTGAAGATTCAAGCATGAAAAGCTTGATTACAATCATCATGTAAAGCGACATTACATACTTTGCATTTATAAACAATCTTCTATGGTACTCTTTACAACAAAGTCTTTTGTTATCAACGGACTTTACGATAAAATGTCTACCATCTCCATGCAATGGTTTTTGAATGCTGAATTTACTAGGTCTTCCTGTTGCTGATCTATTTCTAGCTTATTCTACACTCTCAATAGAAGTTTGCAAAAGGAATAATGCATTCTCGCGTCCCCTGGACCTCGCAACTTTACTTTCCTCACAAATCCTATCACCGTAGCAGAATTTATCAATTATCAGAAGAGGAAAAAAGCCCCAGGGGACGATGGAATCACAAATATTGCTCTGAAGACTCTTCCCATCAACGCCATCACCTGTCTCACTAAAATTATCAACAGCATCCTGTTTATTTTGTTTTTATTTCGGAAAGATTCACCTCCAGTCTATTATGGCGGGAAGGCGCTATTTATCAGATGAAGAATACCCTCGTATGATTAAAGAACCATTTACTAATGCAAATGAGTGTGATGATTAAATTTCTAAAGAGATAGAAAGTGATACTTCTCCATGCTACAAGATTTACCACAGTCTTCATTTTAAATTTTTTTACTTCTTACTGTAAATATTCTTTATTGTGTTGTTTTATTAATTTTAAACTTTATTGATGGATTTTATCAATTAAAACGTTGGAATAATTTGAATAGTGCTTCCGAAAATTATTTTACAAGATAAGCAATTTTTTAAGTATATTTTCATGTAAAATAAAGAAAAAAAATGTTATTAAGTGCCAATTATAACATATATAAGAGCTCAAGTAACAATCTAAAATGATACCAAAAATTATGATGCTAGAAGTGAAACTTTTTTTTTAGAATATAAAATTAGGCTTAGCGATGCAGAACTTCCTTCCTGTATGGTGACTGCCAACGATTCCCTTCCGTCCCGCATGAGCGTCTTAAACAAAGGTGCACCATCGCAAAAAGATTAAGGAAATTATGTTTTAGTTTTCTTGTTTCATCAATAGATGGCGCCAGTGGCTTAACTCCTGTCCAGCCATTCTTATCACTATATCTTATCTCCTTCATTTGCTCTTTGTCAGCACAGGATGATGGTTCTGTAAAACCATCGAAACTAGTCCTGTGAAAATTTTGCAAATATAATGCTGATTTTTGTTATTTGAATTCTAAATTAATAAACTGCCATCACTTTGTATTTTCTCGAAATGAAAGAATAAAGTGGAACTTTTTATATTCAATGTTATTTTCTACATCTTGATGTGCATTTCTGTCATTTATCAAAATTAATGTTATTGTAAAAATTAGAACTACTCTTATATGCACCCTCAAGTCCTCCGCCAAAGATTTTTGGCAAGAAGCTCCTTGCTGCCATATTACTATCTAAATTTTTTATCTACATTTTTGAACTTTAAGCCTAAAATGCCTCCAAAAACGTTTTTTCGCATATGCAAAAACCACGTTTTTGAACACACAATTTAAACTAAAAATCCGAAACAAAAACAAAAAATTTAGATAGCAAAAATGTAAAGTTTTAACCAAAAATATTTGACGAGAATCCATGTACACAGGGATATGTTTTAACTTAAAAAAACATCTACGAATTGCAAAATAAGCAGCGAAGAAATCTAACGAACTATGCACACCTCGCTTTAATAAATTAACATAACAACAATAAATTTCAAAGAATACCATGTACACAGCATTATTCTGTTTAAACTTTTAAAAAAAGTCTATGAATTGCGCAATTTAGGCAACGAATGAATCTACGAACTACTCACACCTTGCTTTAATAAATTAACATAACAACAATAAATTTCAAAGAATACCATGTACACAGTGTTCTGTTTCAACTTAAAAAAATCTATGAATTGCACAATCTAGACACTATGCACTAATCAACAAAATAAACTAAAATAACTAAAATAAATTTCAAACAATTCAAAAAACAACAATAAGAACAGAAATTCATACTAAAAAACAATGAACATAACATTCTACAAAATAAGAACAAGAATAAAATAAAATGCACTTACCATGCATTAATGCTTTTTCGAACAGCAGAAATGCCAATTTCATACCGCCTTTAACATGCCACCACATAATCACTATCGTATATTTATGACAGCCAGACACATCCAGAAAATTCATACTATAGTTCACAAATAAATAAAATCACAAATCCCTACTTCTATCATGCACAGCCACTAAAAATAATCTCCCAGACCCTCTTTCCACTCCTCCAAACTCCCACTGCCCCTCAACAGGATGGCTACAATGATATTTCCTTTTGCCGAAATTCAATTCAATAACTTCCACCATTTTATCTTTCCCCCTATCTTCTAAGACACAAACACCAACCAACGAGCTCCAGCAAAAGATTTTTCAATGTTAACAGGTTTGCCATACAACATGCAATCGCGCCAAAAACTAGTGCAGAACACATATCGCCACATTTGGTGAAATTAGGGCATATATCAGAGTTGTACCTAGAAATTAGACTTTTTATGAATATTTTAAATTCATAATTAATGTATTTTTTTAATTTAAAAAAAGCACTTTTTGAAAACAAATATGAATTCTAGAAGACTGTTAATCATGTCTTTTATTTTACATTTAACATTAAATAACCAAATTGTATATTTATGACTGATTTGGAAATATTCAGTATCATCTGCTCCGTTTTTTATAGCAAATTAATGATTTTACACTAATAAAGTTGCTTCTAATAATTGTGTATATCTTCATCTTTCAAAAAAAGTAGCGGGCAATACTAATATTTTTGTCTCTAAGTATAATTAACTCATTAAGCATAGCTGTGCATTAAATTAAAATTTTAATGTAAAAAATCAAAGTTATTTGTGTATTTTAATATGTTTTCTAGATAATGAAGTTCAGTTGAAATATAGAAATTAGAATTATGTGAGAAATAACTTTTTGTGTTATAACAGTAAAGAAATGGAAAAAATTCGTTAAATTTGGATACATTTTATATTGAATTTCTTCGTTTGTCCACTACAAAAACCTATTTTTGTATGTTTCTTTTTTCTCCCCCTTGATGAAAAGATAAAATGAAGTATGGAGAAGAAAATTTTGTTTTTGTATTTTCAGGTAATCTCAATCATTGTACAAAATTCACTTGAGGAGAGGCCATTTGAAAAAAAAAAAATAATGTAAGTTTAAATCTTTGTAAAATTTTTTATACCTAAATAAAGTGTTATTACTACCACTTTGTTAAGAAAATCATGTCCTAATAAGGTGTTAGAAGTTGCCTATCAATGTGGCATAAAATATATTTTATCTTACTTTCTTCTAAATCCTTTCAAATATAAACAAATAAACAAATGTATAAAAAAAAGTCATTAAAAAACAATATGCATTTCAGAATAGTATCTGTATATTTTTCAGTTGCTACAAAATTATTAACTGCATATTTACTAGTTATGTTCTTAAGTTCCTTTCTGTGATTTCATTTTTATTACAAACAGAATCTTAGCCTTTGAATATTAGGTATTACCTTTTATACAATTCATATAGTTAATAAAAATTATGTCTAATGATAATATTATGGACTTTGGTTACAAAATTTTGATTTCATACTAGAATACTGTTAAAAAATCTTAACTGATGCTAATAAAATTTTATAGCAGCATATATGTGTTAATTTGTTAACTATTACAGGGTTCATGCAGTCCTTAAGAGTCCTTAAGTTTTTTGGAATCCATTTTTAGTCCTTAAAAGTCCTTAATTTTGACTAAAATCTGCAGAAAGTTCTTAATTTTAATCATGTGAAATTTCTGTCTATTTTTACGACTGCC